GCTCAGTGAAAGAAGACAGACACAATGTTCATATATTGTATGATTCCATTTATATGAAATGTCCAGAAGAGGCAAATCCACAGGAGCAGAAAGTAGATTAGTGGTTGTTGGGGCCTAGAGGGGATGGAGAAATCGGGAGGTGACAGGAAATGGGTGCAAGGTTTCTTTTGGGGGTGATGAAAATGTCCTGGAATTGGTGTTGATAGTTGCACAGCATTATGAACATGCTAAAAACCACTGAAATGTATACTTTAAAAATGATAATTTTTATTTTATGTGAATTTTATGTCAATTTTAAAAGAAGAAAAAGCAACCTCTGTAGGCAGAGCAGTGACACTAGCTGGAAGCAAAGGGGGTTGGGCCAGCGTTGCAGAAAGGGATCTTTGATCTCCAGCAAACCAAGGTACTCATTAAGGGCACCAGAACAAGGTCCTGAGGGGATGTCACTATGCTCACTTCTAAGCAGTTCTCGGAATCTGACTCCCTGAGGCTCAACCAAATGGGTCATTTATGCAGCTTTGCTGAAATATATTCAAATCCATACCTAATGACCAAAAAAGAAGTGAAGATTGAAGGGTGAAAATAGCCTAAGAAAGGGCTTGAAATAGAAAAGAAGCTCCTCAGGGACACATTTGTTATATTCATTATTGCCAGGTTCAACGGGAAGGGCAATGAATCATTTGCTCCGAATACATTTAATATTTCCCATGTACTGTCTGTTTATGTCATTCTCTTTCTCCCTGCTTCTTTCCTCTTTAATCAAAAGTTTGACCATGAAGACAAATAGGAGTTCTGGAACTTCACAGATTTTATAAGTAAAGCAAAATCCAGTCCCTTCCAGGGACTCAGCTGGAAGTCAGGTTCTTGATGGTAACCTGTCAGATGACCTGGTTTAAGGTGATGAGAATATTTCGAGGAGCTTTTAAAGACATGCTATACCTGCCTTTTTCAAAACTGTATTAATCTTCTGGTTTTGGAAAAGTTCCCATGAAAAGGACTTTGGAGAAAAACATTCCCATATTTCGCCCCCTCCCTCCGACTGTGGAACAGATCTTAACAGTCTCTAAAGGAATCCATGTGTTCCCACAGATGGCTGTTGAAAAATGAATCATGCTTATCCATTTAAGAAAACGGAGAGAAAAGAACAAGGAATACAGAACTTTGTGATGTAGCCAAGTCGTGTTCAGGGTCTCATGAGTGCCAAAGTCAAATAATCTGGGGTTAGTTTGCTCCTCCCAAATTCACTCTCCCCAGCCTCAATTTTTATAACAGACAGTTATAAAAATTTCCAAAAGAGCAGCCACTACCCTCTAACCTCTGTTGTGCATCCTATGATCTGGAAATGATTAGGAAAAGCTGGTACACCCTACCTGCTTGTATTAGTTTGCTAGTGCGGCCATAACAAAGCACCACAAACCAAGCGGCTTGAACAGAAATGTACTGCCTCACAGTTCTAAAGGTTAGAAGTCTAAGATCAAGGTGTCTGCAGAGTTGATTCCTCTTCAGGGCTGTGAGGAAAGAGTCTGTTTCAGGACCCTCTCCCTGGCTTGTACATGGCCATCTTCTCCCTGTGTCTCTTTGAATCATCTTCCCTCTCTTTGTGTCCAAATTTCCCCCTTTTCATGATAGTATTGGATTAGGGCTGACCCTTAATGATCACATTTTAACTTGATTACCTCTATAAAGACCCTATCTCCAAATAAGGTCACATTCCGAGGTACTGGGAGTTAGGACTCCAACATATCTTTTTTTTCTTCTATATCCTTCCATATCACTAAAATGGGAAAATATAATTCTCAGCCTGCAGCAAATTCTAAAAGACCTTTGACACATCACATTGGTTTTGCATCAAATTTATTGCTGAATTTCATCCAACATATCTTTTGAGGTCATAAATCTGGCTTATGCAACTTAGTGAAGAGTTGAGGGCCCTTTCTCTTACCATCTAGGAAACCCTCTGTTGGAGTTGGACGTAGGGAAGTTTGGTTCTGGGCCAATCAGGAAGGAGTGGGACCAGGAACTACAGGACAGTTTAAGAACAGTGTGCAAAGAACAGGGATAAAAAGATGTGTGGAATTTCTAAGAGTCCTGAGGATAAAGCTGCAATCTGGAATCCAGCCAAACTAACTTACATAGGCAAAGGTCAGTGGCTACGTGCCTAGCATACATCCTAGATGCTCAGCAAGAATCTACTTAAGTGAAAAGAAATGCAGACCAAGCTGGGCGTGAGTGCAACATAAATACAAGATGGGATTATATCAGCTAGGAAGTCTCAGTTGTAAACAACAGAAAATGACTCTGCCTGATTTAAACAGGAAACAAATTCATTAGGAGAATATTGGGATTACAAGGAAACTTTTAGGTATGAAGGTTCATGATCTTGCTTGTGGTAGTAATGTTACAGATGTATACATTTGTCAAAATTTATCAATATGAATTTTAATATGTACTTTATTGTATGTCACATGTACCTCAATAAAACTGTGTTTTAAAAGAGGATATTGAAAATGTCTGTACACTGATGCTGGGAGTGTAAACTGGTGTAGTCACTTGGGTAAACGATTTGGTATTCTCTATGAAAATGGGACAAATGCATATCCTAGGACCCACCATTTTATTCCTAAGTGCCCAATAGAAATGCACCCAAATATTCACCAAAAGAATATACAAGAATGTTCACAGAAGGACTATTCATATGAATAAAAAGTAAACTGCCCAAATGCCCATCTGTGTGAGAAAGGGTTAACTCTGCAAGCCTGGCCTACTTAAACCCTGCACATTCCCAAAGTCTTCAGGACTAGTCCTTGGCATAGATCCTGGCAGAAGATCTCTGAGCCCTTGGGATATCCTGCCTGAAAAGAGTGTTTTTGTACTCCTAAAGCCATGGACTATGCCAGTTAGCTTAAGCTAGTAATGTCATCTACGTGATTACCTCTTTTTGTATTCTTGAGCCTTTGAGCCTGATGTGTCAGTTTGACCTATGAGGGTGTGGAGATTGAGTAGCTGAGGTCATTCATATGGGCATACGCAGTACCCACATGACTGACCTCAAAAAAGAAAAAGAAAAAGAAAGTAAAACAAACAAAAAAAGCAAACAAACCCAGGACACCAAGGCTTGCATGGCTGCCCTGATTGACAACACTTTGCACACACTGTTACACGGACTTGCTGGAAAAATTGAGCATCGTCCATGCAACTCCACTGGGAGAAGACAACTAGAAGCTTGTGCCTAGTTTCCTCTGGACTCAGGCCTATGCAACTTTTCCCTTTGTTGATTTCAATCTGTATCCTTTCATTATAATAAAGTTTAACGTACGACAGCTTTTCCGAGTTCTGTGAGTCTTTCTCGCCAATCACTGAACCTGAGTGTGGTCTTGGTGACCTCTGACACAAAAGGCTAAATACAATATAGTAGATTTACAAAATGCAATGCTTTACTATTCCTATCAGAATAGATAAGCTACAACTACACAAACCCATAAGGATGAATCTCACAAACATAATGTTAGAAATATACAAAAAAATATGTGGTATGATTAGTGTAAGTTTCACAAAAGCAGACACAACTAATCTATGATGTTAGGGTTCATAACCTATAATGAGGAGAATAATCAATTAACTGAAACTAACTCAGAATTGACATCAATTATTAAAATTAGAAGTTGAGAACAGGAAAATATTTATTGTAACTATATTGCATATTTTCAAAATGTTAAGTAGAGACATGGAAAATATAAAAAACATAATAAAAGATCTAAGTAGAACCCCTAGAGAGAAAAACTATAATAACTGAGATGAAAAATACACTGGATGGGATTAATGACAGATTAGCCACGGAAAAAGAAAAGAGTAGTGAATTGAAGACATAGCAATAGAAGGTATACAAAGTAAAACACAGGAAGAAAAAAGAATAGAAAAAAAAGTGAATCGATGGGTTGAGGGACAACTTTAAGTAGCCAAATGTACATATTATTGAAGTCTCTGAAAGTGGGGGCTGTGGGGGGCAGAGGAAATGTCCAAACTATGGAAACTATAAACTCAAGATCCAAGAGAATGAAATTGCACAGGAAACATGAAGTAAACACCACCAAGATACATCATCTAGTTGCTCATAACTAGTGATAAAAATAAGAGCCTTAAATCACTTGGAGTGGTAGAAAAGTGTTTCAGAGTCACCGGACAGATCTGGAACTGTGTTCTGGAAATTGTAATGTTTTATTATCTTTTTTAAAGCTATACACATTCTAGCAAGAATTGATTAAAAGTGAAAGAGCCTGGAAGAAAAAAAAAACAAGTTAGGAGGGTTTCACAGTAATCCAGTGAGTTCAGTGAATCTGAAATAGGGTTGTAAAGTAGAGATGAAAAATAGGAGATGTTTAGGAAATAAATTGACAGTACTTGGAGACTGTTTGTGAAGGTTAAAAAAAATAGTTCTTTCAGGGAACTGGTAGATAGTGTCAAAATTCATTGAGCAAAGGGGGAATATGATTTAATTTTAGACATTCTGTTTGAGGTACATATAGGCTCTCCATTTAAACCTAGGAAAGATGTCTGGCATACAGATATAGGTTTGGGAGTAATCAACACATAATCTGAATTATGTCCCCCAGTTCCCCAGCCTTCTTGTGATGTTCTTACCTTTAATATACAAATACAATGACCTGAATTTTAATTCCATGCATGCAAATGCAAGAAGTCTGGCCCCACCAAACATTCTGAGAGCAAAGTGGGGAAAGGACCTAGGACCCAGATCTTTGAGGAGTGGCACTAGCCAGCAAGTGCTCTGGTCTCTAGACTCAGAGCAGGGTCCCAGGGCTGGGATTCAGACCTTTGAGGAGGGGGCACTGCCTGGCTGTGCTGATACCTCTGGGAGGGGCAGTGAGACCAGTGTGAGAGTGTTGGGAAAAGTACAAGCTAGATTCAGATTCTCTTTTAGAAATAAACTGCTGCTAAGAAGCATTGCTAGTGTGACCCTCAAGAACAGGAAGCAAAACCGAAAGGAGCAAATCCCTTTTTATTCCTTCAAACTTGCATTCACTCTCCTTTGGCAAAGCCTCATGGGGAGCAGCTGCCTAAGAGGAAGAAGAGTGGTTTATAGAATCCCAGCATCACTAAGTGGAGCATAGAATAATGTGGATGGAGTTGAGAGACAATTAATAGCTGGCACACTGCCTGGAGGGGGGAATGGGATAGGTACCTTCTTCTTCTTGTTGTGGCTCTAATCAGGAATTGTGGTTCCGAGGCATGAATGTGTTAAAACGTGCTTGGTGATCTCGTGGAGCTGGCTGTGTTTTCAGAAGGGAAGACAGATCATGACTTTTGTCACCAGCAACCTCTCTTCTTCTAGAGACAAGGTGAACTCTGCATTTGGGAATAGAGAGGGAGAGAGAATCTAAGATAGGAAAATTCTGAAAAGCTGTTGTCCTGTAAAATTGTTTCTAAATGTGTTCTTTATCTCTTACATGTTTAAAGCTAGTAAAATGAAATTCTTCACTCAAATGTTATAGCCAGTTAGATACATATTAAATTTCAAATGGTAGTCCTTACTATAGTCACCTCCACCAATAGCAAGAAACCCAGTCACAGAAGGGAATTGAGCAGCTCTGGCAATGTTAAGCTGAAGGGACCGGTTATGAGGCTGCCTCTTTGGAAAACAAAAAGAGTTACGCTCCTAATAAGGATACAATTGTAAGAAACAATGTAGCTGGAAGCTGAGAGTTGAGCATCTGCTGTTAAGGGGAGGAAAAGTCAGTTTTAAGATACACCTGGTAGAAAGCCATCAAAGAAACTTTGAAGGGAAATTCTTAGAAAAGAGAAAAACCTTGACATGGTCTTAGAAAACCACTTGTTTATCAATTTACAGCTACATGAAGTAAGAGGACTCAACCCATGCTGTCATTTTGAGCGACTTTTACAATTCTACAGAACAGTAGCAATAACAGTACTTCTGTTGCCATTCCTGCCTCTTCGACCTTATAAGCTTTTTGAGCTTGACAAACCTAGAGTTTAAAACATTGCTTCCATCATGGTGCATCTCAGAATCATAGGATGTCAGATCTAGACAGGACCTTGAAGCAAGAAAAATCATGAAGAGCTAAAGGAAAATCTGTAGCAATAAAAATTTTATAACTATAAACAAAAGCCTCTGGGGACATAGAGTTATATCTGTCTGAACACTAATATTAAGGAAGGAAAGAGAACACTAAAGTTAAGGAAGGAAGGTATAGTCCAAGGAAGTAACTTAAAAATAAATAAAACTTTTAAATAAAGCAACTGTGGATTAGGATGAGAATTACATTTTATTCATTTTAATGAAGTTTTTTACACCATTAAATAACAGAGATCTTTCATCTAGGAAACTCAAGCATTTATAAATAAATTCTGAGTAGACAATGTTTTTCAAAATTTTATAGAGATGTGAATTCTCACATATATGAAAGACAAAACAATTTAGGTGCAAAGAAGTATTGTTCTAGTTACACTTATTGAGCCTCAAAATGTGCTAAGATGTTCACATGTCTACTCTCTATTTCCATCCTAAGTCAACTTGACCCATTGTTACAGGCTGAATTGAATGTTTATGTCCCTTCTCCTCCTCCAAATTCATACGCTGAAGCCATAACCACAAGAAGGGGCCTCTAAGAAAGTATTAAGGCTCAATGAAGTCTTAAGAGTAGGGCCCTAATCCAGTAGGATTAGTGTCCTTTTAAGAAGAGACATCAGAGCACTCTCAATCTCTCTCTCCTCTTTCTGTCTTTGTGTGTATCCACCAGGGAAAGGCCATATGAGGACATGGTGAGAAATTGGCTGTCTACACGCCAGGTAGGGAGTCCTTACCAGAAACCAATTTTTCTGGCTCCTTGATCTTGGATTTCCCAACCTCCAAAACTGTGAGAAAATAAATTTCTGTCCTTTAAGCCACCTAGTTTATGATATTTTGTTATAGTATCCAAGCTGACTAAGCCACCAAATCATATACATTGTTATACAGTACACTGCTCATAGGTGAACCACTGCATAAATTCTCCAGTGATAACTGTTATAAGTAGCATTAGTTGACTATGTGCTACTCTCTTTCACAAAGTTGTTTTATTTATGATCTTTAAATAAACAATTTTATGGCATTAAATTGCCACACTGAGAAATGGTAGCATCAAGTAAATAGCTGTAATGGAACTGGTTTGAGCCCAAGAGTTACATTAAAGACTGGGAGTGCATCAGAAGGAAAAGGTGACAGTCATCATTTGGAAGCACAGGCCCCATGTACTATGGGGATGGGGAGGGCCCTGATCACATATCTGTTACTTCAACCACCGTAATCCAGACCTAAAATAGCTCACTTGTCACAGGACTTTAAATAGAAAAGATGACAACATAAGTGTTGACTGGCATGCTCTTCAGCTTAGTTCCTTTTATAAGCACATATACTAGGTGCCTACTGTGCACCAGGCCTTCTGCTTAGAGATGGAGGGAGGTATAAAATAGCTATAGAGGCAGTACTTTCCTTAAGAGTTTGGGATTTGGAGTTAAATAGAACTGGGTTGAAATTATAAGTAACCAACTTACATGCTATGTGTCCTCAGGCGGGTAACTTAATTTTTTTGAGCCTTATTCCTACTTTACAAGGTACTTAGAAGATACTGCAAGTGAAACTCACAGAACAGTGTTTGATGCATCATAAGTCATTATCAGACTGCTGTTAATAATGTCAAATATGAATAATTAACATTTTAAAAACATTAATTATTTGAGCCCTATGGGCTTGTGATCTAAATTGAAGCTAGAAGTTGATCTTTATAAAGGGAATATTGTTATAATGGAGGTTCAAATAAAATACAATGGGAGATATCTGTTTCTGGGAAAAAGAAGAGATTGGAAAAAGTTTTACAAAGAATCTAACACCTGAACTACAGATGAGTCTCAGAGGGAAAGGGGTGGATGGGCAGGAAGAGATTAACCAAAGAACTTATATGCATAACCCATGGACACAGACAATAGTGCAGTGAAGGTCTTGGTGGGGATGGTGGCGGGGTAAGGGGGATCAATGTAAGGAAGTGAGGACATCTGTAATACTTTCAACAATAAAGATAAAAATTTAAAAAAAGAAAGTTAATTTCTAAATAGTAGATTGTCTTCCAAGTACTCTATATGTTTGTAGCTGTGATGATAACACTGGAATGGAAAAATTCTTAAAACAGATCTACGTTTTCTATGGCCTACATTGTGCTCCCTCCCCCCCTCCAGTTCATATGTGGAAGTCCTAACCCCACCCCTCAGAATGTATTTAGAGATAAGGGCTTTAAATAGGTAGTTAAGCTATAATGAAATCATAGGATAGGCCCTAATCCAACATGACTGGTATCCTTATAAAAGATCACATGGGAAAGGCCACAACAAGATACAGGGAGAAGATGGCCATCTACCAGCCAAAGAGAGAGGCCTCAAAATAAATCAACCCTGTTGACACCTTGGTCCTGGACTTCCAGCCCCCAGAACTGTGAGAAAATAAATTTCTGTTGTTAAGACACCCAGTCTGTGATACTTTGTTATGGCAGCCCTAGCAAACTAACAAACAAGTATATACTAGAACTGGTTGTATGATAAATGTAGAATTATAATTCCATGGAGAAAAAAATAAATGGGGTTATGAAAATCACCTTTCCATTTGTGAGAAAATAGAGTAGATGTCTACCACATACCATACATAAAAATAACATTGAAATGGTATTAAATATCTAAATGTAACAAATAAAGCACATTAGAAAATATATAGAAATATTCTTATGACTTTAAGGCTAGGGAAGTCTTGTTAAGCAAGTCAGAAACCCCAGAAGCCAAAACACTGATAGAGTTTAAGTCAGTGGGTCTCAACCTTCTGGCCCTTTAAATACAGTTCCTCATGTTGTGACCCAACCATAAAATTACTTACGTTGCTACTTCATAACTGTAATGTTGCTACTGTTATGAATCGTAATGTAAATATCTGATATGCAGGATGGTCTTAGGCGACCCCTGTGAAAGGGTCGTTCGACTGCCAAAGGGGTCTCGACCCACAGGTTGAAAACCGCTGGTGTAAGTGCATTGCAGGGTGGTGGGAGGCCTCAGGTGAGAGGATAACTTTAAGCCAGGCACTCAAGGCTTCCATGAATGAAGAACCTTCAGGGGAAGAGGAAGCTCTAAACTGTCAAGCCCAGAGAGAATGAGACCATCTTACAGCAGCACCAGCCAAGTAAGAGCTTTCTATCCTCATTCCCTCTCCTCCCACCCCTGCCTTTGCCATAACAGATTTAGAAATCTCTGGGTAGCAAGCTAGGGAGGAGGAGGAGGAGGAATGATAGACTGGGAAGGCGAGCAAGAGGAGCGCTCCTCACTCTTCTCCTGCAAGTGGTCGGCTAGCAAGTGTCAGCGGGAGGGAAGGGAGAAAACGGATGGGTATGCAGGATGAACACTTTTATTTCCTGAAGCTAGGCAATATTTCATTGAGACTGTGTTTATGACTGAAAGTTACTGTGGAATTTTCTAAGTCCTTTGAACAACTATAAATGTCATGGGAACTGCCTAAGAGTTTACTTCTGTATAGAGGAAGGTACACAGGACGGGGACACACACACACACACACACACACACACACACACACACTTCACAGGTCACACTTAAAGAAATAGTAGCGGTAAAAAAAAATAATGCTTCTTTTTATATTGTCCTATGAGTTCCCTGTGTTCAATAAATCAGTTACACCAGAGAGGACTCAGCTAGTGAGAAAAAAGTCGGTGGTGGGGGGGGGGGGGGGAACCAATTCTAGATAGAATAGTACAGTAACCTTTTCTAAGGAGGTATTTAAGCTGAAACGTAAAAAATGAAAAAGGAGGCAGCCACACACAGGGAGGAATGGTCTTCATCTTGTGTGCTCTCAAATAGCAATCAATTCATTTAAAAAATGGGGGAAAGCACAAACCCAAAGAACCAAAGCAGCAGGAGCAAAGATAAACTCCGATCTCATTGTGCGAGGAAATTTCAGTCCCCTCCTTAATGGAATGGGGAGGGATGTGGTCCAAATGCTTCTTCAAGATTTTCAACCAACCTTCCTGTTTCCACCCCCCTACCCCCACCCCTCACTTCCAGAGTTACTTAGTCTGCCAATTCCTGAGCCATTGGGGAAATCTGCAGGGTAAATTTGGTTTCTTCTCAGCTTTCCATGCTGCTGCTTTAGACTTCAGCTCACTTGTTCTGCAAAGTCAGGCACTACTCGTTCTTCTGTGCCCCAGCTTTCAAATACTATCTGTGCTATCTGTGCGTTAGAAATAAAATGATAACCAAGATAGATGTGCTTCCTGTCCTCACAGAGCTATGCCTTAGTGGAG